GCTAAAAAAAAACTTTCGTTCTATATTAATATTAAAATTAACATATACATATACATATACATAAATAAAAATCTAAACATGAACATGAATACGGTCAACGCTTAAGCAGGCAGCAGGCTACACGAGACGCGACATTCCAGCATCTGAGCCCAACAGCTCGCTATGCGTTTGCGGCTGAATGCAAATGACCATAATTGATGGACAACAACGCCCGTGAAAAGACATCAGGAATCCGGTGCCGAGAAAACAAAAAGATGAAAAAGAAGCCCGTGAATCACTTTCAGGTACATTCATAATCCTGTGAATTTTTTTAGACTGTTGGCGTTAATAACCTGTTTTAATGTCGGTAATCATTTTACCACCAACAACGCATCTAATATTCTCTCTGAGTTTCCATGTTCTCTTACGAAAATTAGCCATGGTTTTACTACGAATAAAACCAAAAAACATGGTTCTTGTAGCCATGGATGTAACCACAAATTAACCATGGTTTTTAACCACAAATTAACCATGTTTTTTCTTTTTTTTCTTTTTTTTTTACTTCAAATAATAGTTTACAAAGAAGTATTAAGAAAATATTTTTTGTGGTTATAAAAACAGACCTAAGCCAACAACAGCCTTTAAAATGACTTAAAATGCATTATATAAAAACAATGAGGCAATAATGATTGGTTAATTAATAATTATATGGTTTCATTGAAAAACACTGTTAAAATACATAATGCCTAATACAAAATAATCAATTTAGATATTTACATTACATATTATTACAAATGTCTGTAAAGGGCGCCAAAGGCCTGGTTATTGCTGCTGTTACACTTACAGGACGATCAAGTCTTTTAATATTGACCAAACATTTAAGCTAATTCAAATATTCACATAATCTTTCATTTTTGGCCACCTTTTTGCGATAGAAATGCTACAGCTTCTATCTTCAAAAACATGTGGACATCACAACCCTTACAAAAATGTACCATGCTTTTATCGTAAAGCTGCTTAATTTTCTTTTGTGTGATTTCTGAATGCTTGAGACTATAAAATCAATCAGACAACTGTATAAAATAATAGCAATAGGTAACTGTCTAGAGCTACAATTGTAATTTGTGAATAATACAATTTAATTAATTAATTATTAAATTTAATTTAATAATTTATTTATTTACTTTTATATTTTATTAAAGTTCTATTTTGACCCCTACAGTAGGTGTTTTTTTTGTGTGTGTTTTTTTTCGCATCCATAATTTGGGGGAGGGGGCACAACAATACAATTCTGCTTAGGGCACCCATTTGGCCAGCGGCCCTGTTCACACTGCCCTTTTTGCAAGTGAACCATAAACTGTAAACAAAACCACACGTGTGCTTAAGGTCATCCTCTTCAGCTGGGTCTCCGTACGGTTGTTTGGTCCGCACCAGAGTGCGATTGCTGTATTCACACCTGCCCAAAAGATCCGCACCAAAGGGGGAAACGAACTTGAGTTCGATTCAATCGAACCAAACAAGACTTGTGAATACACCCAAAAGACCTACGGCCAGACATTCCTCACTGCTCAAGTCTACCCAGAAAAGGTTAGAGAGCCTATTACAGGGTCAGCTGAGAGAGAGAGAGAGAGAGAGAGAGGGCACAGCTGATCAGTAGAATGTGCATTTGAAGCCTTGCATGTTCGGTTTAACAGAAGCTCCATTTTGTAAGAGGTAAAAAGAGAGGCCCTCATCAAAAGTAAGTGTTTTCTCTCCATCTTTTATTCTTACATGGTCATTTATTCTCATTTATGTCACTTGCTGCAATTTTTATTGAATTATGTGTTTGCAGTTACACAGTACTGCTTTATCATTTAGATCATTTAGTTCCATTGTATTTGTTTAGGAAGGTGTCCTTTTATCGTACAGTCTCTTATTAATGAATACATGTTATATGTTCATAATAATATTACATTAAGTATAACCCATTTTCTAGCCTCTTTTAATATTTGAATAGCTATATTTTTATTATTCTGTGTCAGTGTGTTTTGCTCAGTTTTGTAGATGTTTTCTTGGCTTGTATCTAAAATTGGAACTCAATTTAGGTTAAATCTAGTTTAGTAAATGGTTCACAGTGTGTTTTCTGGTCAGCTGATAACAATTATCATGTTTTCACATCACTGAAGACAACATGTACTTTTGATTCAGTATCACCAGATTCTTTTGTGCTCAGTCTGTTTCAGTGTATTGCATTTCTTGTTCACTGTAAATTAATATGTGGCTCTAATCAAAATTAGTCAACGTGAATGAAATCCGGTGCTATTTAACATGGTTGCTGTGATATTTGCTATTGCTGTGTGCAATTAGCAGAATATATACAGAACTTTTCCAATGCATTACATATGTTCACTGGTATATATTTACAGCAGTGCATTTGTGAAAGCCAGACTCTGTGCTTCACTCATTCCTTTCCAACACCCATTTGAGAGGATTTTCTCACTAACAATGGCCGTCCTGTAAAGGGGCTGAGCTCTGCATTCCACTCCAGACCCCAGCTACATTTGTGTTTATATTTAAAGAAAGCCCGAGAAGCACTTGTCATGGTCCTCTCTCAAGGGTGCCACACTCTTTGTCTAATAGCTCTTAACCTTGATCTTGTTGCCATGCAACTCTAAAATCCCACTTTAGAGTTGCAATTCTTACTCTCCATGACTAGTTTACTCTTCTTTATTAACAAATCAATTATTAACAGAACTTCTTTTGTGAAAAAGCACATGTTCCTTTCAACAAAAAATATCTGAAGAACATTTCATGTGATTTACAAAGTAGGAGTGGAGTTAGAGACCACCCTGTATTCTCCATTCATTCATTCAGTGAAGTGAATGCTGGATTTTCAATCTGTACTGTGTGGTTCAAAAGTTTGAGATTGGTAAAAAAAATCATATTTTTGAAAGCAACCTCTCGTGCTTACAAAGTCTGCATTTGGTGAAAAATACAGTAAGCATAGATCCCAAACTGCCTTATGGACAGAGTGAGCTACAGCAACATGTAAATGCAACTAAATAATCACATGAGAGAGATTTTCAATGCAGGGTTTATTTGCTGCATAGTAACCACCCATCTCATTAGACCATGACAATAGAGGAATGACTGGAGATGAAAGCACAGCGCTGAATGAGAACATTAATTTCCATATTTATTCATCTCATGACCTGCAGCAGTACAGACCTATGCTGTACCAGAGTAATCAGACAGCCTAATCATATTGGATATATTGGTGTTATGTGTGTGTGTGTGTGCTGTCTTGAAAGATGATAGAATAACACTTAATTTGCACAGACAGTTCAAAGGGATGCACGGCAATATCTGGCTTAGTTGCATTTTTTATAGAGAAGTGAAGTGAAGTGACATGTGGCCAAGTATGGTGACCCATACTCGGAATTAGTGCTCTGCATTTATCCCATCCAAAGTGCACACACACAGCAGTGAACACACACACACACCGTGAACACACACCCGGAGCAGTGGGCAGCCATTTATGCTGCGGCGCCCGGGGAGCAGTTGGGGGTTCGGTGCCTTGCTCAAGGGCACCTCAGTCGTGGTATTGAAGGTGGAAGAGAGCGCTGTACATTCACTCCTCCCGAGACTCGAACCTGCAACCTTTGGGTTACGAGTCCGACTCTCTAACCATTAGGCCACGACTTCATAGTTACATTGTTTTACAGTTTCATTGAAAGGTTCATTATAGAACCTCAGTGAAGCATGGCTCACATAAAAAACTTGCAGGGATGGAAAAAAAATCAGCCCTGGCTTATGCTGACATAATTCTTAATATTGCTTGATGTACACTACTGTTCAAAAGTTTGGGGTCAGTAAGATTTTTTTTTTAATTAAAACTTATTCAGCAAGGATGCATTAAATTGACAAATCAAATCAAAAGTAAGGACAGTAAAATAAATGCTGTTCTTTAAAACTTTCTATTCATCAAAACTGTATCGCTTTTACCACAAAAATATTAAGCAGCACCTCTGGTTTTAACATAGATAACAATTAGATGTAACAATTAGAATTAAAATGTTTCTTCAGCACCAAATCAGCATATTAGAATGATTTCAGAAGGATCAAAATAGCTATTTTAAATTGTAATAATATTTCACAATTTCACTGTGTTTTTGATCTCGTAAATGCAGCCTTGGTGAGCAGAAAACTCTGTTTCAAAAAACATTACAAATATGTTGCCAATCCCAAATTGTGAATGGTAGTACTGATTTTCAGGTTGTACTGATATGTCAAAAATAGTCATTTTTACATAGCAATGGCTGCACAATTAAATGAAATAATAAATAACACATTTCAGTCATTTATAAAGTACTTAATAAGTGCAGTGCAAACACTTTGAATTTACTTTTGATTGAATTTGTTGCGATTTTTTTTTAGCTAATTCACTAGATCTGTACCGTACAAGACTATTTGCTTAATTCAATTAATTACCTGATTTGAGTGTATTATAAAGGTTTATACATCTGTGTCTGGCTCTAGTATGTTGCTGTGCTGGTGTGTCGTGGCCACAGTGCTTTTATACGTGTTGTACTCCTGGCTCATCCCCACTGCTGTGCAGTTCAGTGGCAGTCTGGCGTTACTCTGGCACGACGTCATCGTTGAGCGTGCTCTTGATACTCTGACCAGATCAACTCGACCACAGGTGACTCAATCAGTCCTGGTTAAACACAGCTTTCTATCACCAAAATTACAACGTGTACCTCTGTTCTTTATTTGCAACTATGGACAATAGGATCTTAAGACTGAGGAAGTTTAACTATGTTAGACTTTTGAGGCCCATAAAGTAAGCAAAGTCATCACCAGACCTCTTTATTCTTTGTTGTGACTATAGCGTCTGCTGAAAGCAGTAAGGAAACGTGCAACGCGAGGTGACCCCCAGAGTGTGATCTCGGCCATTGATCATTTCTGCCGACACAGCGAATGGGCTATGAACGTTGGAGATGAGAAAGGTCAGAACACTGTTTTATATTTACATTTTATCTCTTGTCAAATGATTTTCTTCAAGAATTTCAGGACAAAATCTCAAAGAAATAATAATAAAATAAAAATATAAAATAAAAATGTATTTCTATAGGAATCTGTATATTTGTATTTAATCAACTCAAATTCAGTAATTTGTGGAGCTTTTACTAAGCTGGCTATAACGTTGCGATTTAACCAGTAACTGTCTTTTATGTATATTTGTGTGTGTATGTTCTCAGGCTCTATCCTGGACTCAGTGGTGAGCGAGTTGAACCCAGAGAAGGTCCTAGAGTTGGGCACATACTGTGGATACTCCACAGTGCGCATCGCTCGACTCCTTCCTCCTGGAGCTCGTCTGATAACACTGGAGTTCAATGCAGATTATGCTGCAATTGCCCGACAAGTAATCGCCTGGGCGGGTCTTGAAGACAAAGTAAGGGCCCTGTTCCTCCACAAACACATTGTTTAAATACAGTCATCCTTATTTACTCTCTGAACATTATGTTTGTAGCCTATATATTAAAAGGATAAGACTCATTTCTTGTTTATCATGTCTTGAGCTAATGTATTACTTCATCAGATCCAGCTTGTAGAAGGTGCGTCTGAAGATTGGATCCCACGCATGAAGGAGCACTTTGGAATTGAAACATTTGATTTTGTTTTTCTGGACCACTGGAAGGACCGTTACCTCCCTGACACAAAATTAATGGAGGTGTGTTTGATTCTGACCACTGCAATCTCATTCAGTCTCAGATATTATGGTGTCTCTTCCTGTAGCCCAAACAGTAGAGTATGACACTAACAATGCCAAGGTCATGGGTTCGATTCCCAGAAAAAACAAGAACTGATGTAAATGTAAATGTGTGCTTTGGATGGAGTGTCCAGAAGTCCCTGAATTTACTGCTATGCCACTATTCTCTTCTCGCTTTTGCTCACCAAGCTTATATCCAACATTTTTTTACTCTTCTCTTTTTCTTTCTTCTTTGTTTGTAGGATTGTGGTCTGCTAAGGAAAGGCACCGTTCTGCTTGCTTGAAACATTTGATTTTGTTTTTCTGGACCACTGGAAGGACCGTTACCTCCCTGACACAAAATTAATGGAGGTGTGTTTGATTCTGACCACTGCAATCTCATTCAGTCTCAGATATTATGGTGTCTCTTCCTGTAGCCCAACCAGTAGAGTATGACACTAGCAATGCCAAGGTCATGGGTTCGATTCCCAGAAAAAACAAGAACTGATGTAAATGTGTGCTTTGGATGGAGTGTCCAGAAGTCCCTGAATTTACTGCTATGCCACTATTCTCTTCTCGCTTTTGCTCACCAAGCTTATATCCAACATTTTTTTACTCTTCTCTTTTTCTTTCTTCTTTGTTTGTAGGATTGTGGTCTGCTAAGGAAAGGCACCGTTCTGCTTGCTGATAATGTGATCTGTCCGGGAGTACCAGACTATCTTGAATATGTGCGCAATAGCCTTTCCTATAATAGCTGCTATTTTAAATCCCATTTAGAGTACACCAAGGCCGAGGATGGCTTGGAGAAGTCTGTGTTTTTGGGCTAGAGATATACAGGGATGATTCATATGCTTAAAAAGAGGACTTTTGCTAAGAGTTTGTTCTAAGAGACTTAGCATGAGGTATAATTTAAATGGTTTATTATCATACGTCCCCAAGATGTATTGTACTTAAAATCTGTTTTGCATATTACTTGACCAAACAACAGGCTGTTACCACTCTGTACCACTAGAGGGTAGGATCACATTTCAAATGGCTAAATGAAATGTGGTTTTGTCTAGACCAGACCCCTCTTACAACTTAACCAGAAATTTTTATCTGAAAAATCAAACCATTTTATACCAATGACATTTTTGTATTTGTACAGAAAATGGGGGCTTTGTGGGTTATTTTAAGGTCGTTCTGTAATAATTGAAACAATGCCCTTTGTGTTTATGAATTTACACGTCAGCAGTGATGATAATGACAATGGCATTTAGAGTGTGCTAATTTGATGTATTTTTGCAGAACTGATAATACCATATATGGATTGTAGTTTTATTTGTTAATTTGTTTTCAAAACATTTGGTGCATATTCTTGTATGCTTTTTACTAGTTTTTTGGTTTTACTATAAATTTACTAATTGATTTCTTGCATTCATTTATTACATTTTTTATTCATTTACATTTTAAAGGTAATATTTTTGTTACTATTTTACAGTAGTATTAATTTTTTTCTTATTTTTCTTATTTCCCTTTTTAACTAAGTTCTAAAAACACATTTTCATTCACAGTTTCTTATTCATTTATTTATGACTAGAGAGTGTTGTCTCAAAACACAAGACTATAAATATATAGCAGACAATTGTATTTTATGTTTGGATCTCTCACTCAGATTTTATAGTGTGACATATCCCACAAGTTGAATTGACAGCTATAAATCTTTAATAGCATTCCAAATTAAATGCTACAGCCCATTAAAATACACCTTGTGATTTATCATAGATGAAACATCCCTTAATAAAATACACCATTTCATCAAGTAATGAAATGCGGATAGTATAGCCACATAGTTGAACACAATTCATCCACAAGCACACTAATAAACAAATGACAATATTACAAGCACCTTAAATGATCTGTGGACAGGGAATACTTGTCACTCGATCACTGGTTTGCTTTAAATTTGAATAGAAATGACATTAATGTATTTGAATAATTCATTAACAAATAAAACAAATATTAACATAAAGCAAAAGATATCCGGGGGAAAAAGTGACCAAAGTGTTGTGTCGGTTAGTATGTTGGGGATGTAAAAACCCATTAGTCCATACAGCCATGTGTTTCAGTGATGGTGGTATTATGGACAAGAGTAAGGCTATACACTACCATTTAAAAACACACGTGACCGTTCATTCCAAAATGTACTAAACAAAGCATATAAACCGTTATGACAAGACCAGGAGGGTCTCGCACCAGTTGCGTAAAAGCAGACGGTCTGAATGCAGAGAACTATATCCAGCAGCGTTCACATTAAAAATATATACGGGTCCATCTCTCTCAGAGACTTCTCAAATGCATGCATGTGGTAATCCCAATCTGTGCCCATTAGTGCACACTGAAAAAGAGCAAGGAAGAGAGAGTGAGTGGGGGAGTGAGAGAGAGAGACAGAAGGGGAGAGAGTGAGGGAAAGAGACGGAGTGAGGGGGCTTTTAAAGGATTTGACAGTGATTTGTTGACTGTTTGGGCATTTCCACCTTTTCCCGCGTTTTATAGTTTAAACTGTGAATGCTTTCTATATTAAAATCTCGTCTTAATCCAAATAATTTTTAAATTGTCTTTGTGTGTGAGAAAACTGTGGGCATTTTGAAGATGAGAGCTGAAGACTCGGATGCTGGGGACGTTTACTGTCGCGCTTCAAAACCATCAAACTTCAGTTCCAGATGGGCGCACACTGGCATCAGCAGCAGTCGGTGAGACATTTTAAAGAAGCGAATAAATTAAAAATTGTTGTGTCAATATATTGAATGTAAGTTTAAGTAAAATGTTACGATATTGTAAAGATGTCTGTTCAGGTAAAGCGATAAATAATTAAGAGGGATTAGTGCTGCTGTTCCCTTCAACACTTAATCAAACGCGCGCGCGCGTGTGTGTGTTTGTGTCTTCCCGCGGGAACTTCAGCTTGAATCCAAATATAGCACTTTTTCCGCTCACCTGTTGCTGAATATGTATCAGTTAATTTACATAAAATATTAATATGCATGCCTATACATGCCCTCTATTCTCAGCGGTCTGTTGAGTGCGAAGACGTGCAAGTGAGTTCATTTTCTAGAGGACAGAGACTTTGGGTTGAAACATAACTTTAAAGAATAATTATAAAAATAAGAAGAACTTGGTCAATCAAATTTAAAATCAATTATAAAATGACATATGCTCTGCATTTCGGTATAGGCCTATAAAAATAGGCTATTGTACTTCCTTGAATATGGTGTCAGTAGGTTTTTATGTGTAACTAAATATAAAGGATGTAAACCAATATGCACCCTTACAAAAAAATTACCATGGTAATACCATGTCTTTGGTCACTGCTATGATGGCAATACCATGCTATTTTTTGAAAGTACCTTACAATATCAATGTGCCATGGTATATGAATATGTGACCAAGCTGTTTGGTACATTTTTCATTCTTTGTTGAAAATTTCTGGTGGAACAAATAGAATGGGAAAAATGGAAATCAAAGCCTAAATCCTTGGGTTAAAAAATTCTATATAAATAAATAAATATAAAAGTTATGTTTTGGACTGGAAAAAATGTGTATTTGTAAAAATTATTTTATATTCATATAAATAAACTAATATAAATAGGCATCATAATTTATCACATCTTTAATCAAAATACTTATTCCCATTCTCTGTTAACTAACATTTATAGCCCTCATCCAGAAGGACAACTCAGATGTTCGATGTTCCAATGGAGAACCACCTATCATCCCAAAACCAGAGCGTGTGGTAGGGGTCATCGGGGCTTCGGCCAGCTCAGTGTCCATAATGGTGGCCAATGTTCTTCGTCTGTTTGCGGTGAGAGAGATCTTTTTAGCTAACTTAATTTTAATGAACTACATTTTAATGTTGATTCCTTCAGTTTCAGGCTCCAGAAAGGCTTCAAGGCAGGTGGAAAAAAAAATACTATTAGAAATCACCATACTTTCCCTAGCAGCTTATTATTGACAGTACAGGAAGACAATTGTTTCGTATTATTTTCTGAATTTTTTTATTGCAAATGAGGAGTTGCCTAATTAAATATGCACTCATTTGCATACAATTCCAGAACAGAAATCTGAACATTGGATAAAGCCAAGTCTAAAATTCTTGAGGGAGGATTTTAATATTTCTTTTTATCACTTCATAAATCAGAACATACTGTCAACTGCCAAAAAAAAAAAAAAATCACCATGTTATAGGAATAAAATGTAAAAACAAATATATATATCAGGCAGGTGTAATAATGAGCAAACCCGTCTGTGAAAACCTTCAGAATATGAATAAAACTGCAAAGTTTGGTGCAACTGAAGTGAAGATTTCATACACAGTGCATGAGAAAAAAGCTAATTTTGAGAAAAGAGTCTTTGTGTTGTATTTGAAATCATTGTCATTGTATTCCCTTCTGTTCTTGCATGGTGTTGCTGCAAGCCTGGAATCTGCAGCGCTGCAGATAGGGCCAGTGCTACAGGAAGTATAACTAATTCTGTTAAAAGGTTTGGATTGTGTTTCAGCTCACTGGCCTCTCAGCAAGAGCTTCTTAAACGATATAGATTCTTCCTTTATTTTGTTCTGAGAGAGAGTGCATCCGATTTTCCTTGAAGTGAAAAACGGTTTTGCATTGCGCGCACCATTGACCTGTGTCTTTAAAACATTGACAACCACGAAGGTGAAATATGCTGTGTGCATGTCATTTAATTTCAAATCCCTTCTCATTTTCAGATCATCATTCAGCTTGCAAATCCTACACCTGAGCTACATTCAATTTCATTCAGCCCTCTGCCACTTTTTATAATTTTTTTATTTATTAATTTTAATCATTAGTGTTCTTTGTGGTCACTGCTCCAGGCTGTGTTCTTTTGTGCGTGAGCTGATAACCTCACCCAGGAGTTATCTGCAATCATTTTCAGTCATCACAGTTTCAGAGAAGATAAACAATTCACAAAAAGTGACTTAGTCAGAGCTCCATTAGGTTTCTCTCCGGACATTATACCTGGAATTTGTGCATCCTAATCATATTTTGCTGTGGTAATTCATTACTTTTAGTGATACTTTCTGGAACAGGGCTGACTTATATAGCTAAAACAATCATATCTAAATGTGTTAGCCTTTTGATAATATTGGATAAAGAGGAGATTGGAGATAGTTGAATAAATGAAAAATTAACAAATGAACAGTATTTGCTGGAGTAAAAAGTGTCACCCGGACTTGCAAAAATCTTGATATTTATATATTTCCTCTGAAAGGAAAAACACTACAGGCAAAGCCATTGTTTTTTTCATGTAGTGGTCAATTATGAGATTTTGGACTATATTTTGCTTCCATAACATTCTTAATCTTCTTCTTTTGCATCAATAATGCTTTTATTTTATTATACTTTTTCTATTTGCGTCTGTATATTTCAATTAGCATACATATCTTTAAAGCAAGCTTTTTTTCCTCATTCACTGAACCAGAAATCTCCAATTTAACAACACTTATATACACCAAACTACTAGTTTTATTCTTTATTTTGTTATTTTGTTTATTATCTATATTTTGAATGTTTCCACAGAGGGAGTTGTTAATATATCTTTTGTCTGATTTATATGTTACTTTAATTCCTTAAAGCAGATTTCTGGTTGTTGACAGTATTTTCTGATATATAGACTGATATTTAAAATCCTCTCTGTAGCCTATAATTTTAATATGTAAACAAAATTAAACAAGAATTTCGAACATGGCGTTATCCAGTGTTTAGATTTGCAAATTAGTGCATATAAAGACATTGCCTCATTTTCCTATTTTAACATAACATTTCAGAAAACTTGTAATGCAAAACAATTATCTTGATGTACTGTGATTAATCAGCTGGGGAAGTATGGTGATATATACTGTATTATTTAAAAAATTGTACCCTGTTTTACCCTGGTGTAATGCCAAGTTGTTTTTTCCATCATTGAAACTATCATTTCGACCAAACAGCTAATTAGATTCATAATGTTTAGTGCAAAATGTCAAATACAATTAAAATTTTAAAGTCTTATAAATAAAATTAATAATTTAATAAAAATACAACACTGCATAATAATAAACATCAATATGTTTTTGTGAAATATTATAATACAATAAAAACAAAGAGTTTTCCATGAAATCTTTTTTAATAATGATCAAAAAGGAGCAAATTAAGAGTTTAAATCGATTCATTGAAAAGGACTGTGTGTATGGACATACCACAATTATTAAATCACACAGAGATTAAAAATGTAGTAATCACCAAAGTGTCATCTTGAATCTTTTTCTATAAATGCTGATCTTCATACTAGTTTATGTCCATGTTCTTTACTGAGTTCTGGTAAGTAGGAACTGAGGATGGCAGATATTAACTACAGCATTACGGAGGATCCGCTCGCCATTAAAGCCCACTCACCAGCTCAAACTCCTGATGGGAAATTACACATGAGCCCAGAAAAATGCAGCTGCCCTGTTATCAGCTACAAGCAGCTTCTGCTCTGTCGCTTTAGCTAAATGAGTGTGGACCTTTAGCACATATATCGACACGGACAGATAGCCAGCATTTATGGGTGGCACTTAGTCTCTTGGTCTCACATTCTCTTAATAATATTATTCACAAATCCAGAAAATTTTGTTTTAACGACAACACGAGATGTCTTTCTATAGATAAATATACATGAACCATTCGATATCTGATGCATATGGTAGGTGTATGACATTCGGCCTTAAGCAGATTTTTGTTGCCATACAAAAACTGAATGAGTGCAAGTTTTTTTCCCCTTAATTGGATTTTATCTTGCAAAGCTGTCACTTTTAAAATAATAATTTGGAATTTCCTTAAACAAAAAAAACATTATAAAAAAAATCATTATATTGTAAATCTTTAATAAATCATGGAGTATCCTATACTAAAATAATAATAATAATAATAATTGTCAGGCAACCTAAAATGTATTTTAAATGAATTTTTCTTAATCAGAAATATTATTTAATCTGGATGAATCAACCTGAATATTTTGCGTTATATCCGGCCACCAGTGAAAGTCACTTTTAAGGGTCAGATCATGACAAAATAAAGCAGATGTTCATATTTTCACAAGAATAAATGCTTAGGGAACATATGTTGAAACACTTCCAGGAAATGTTTGCATGTGATTGCTGTTAATGTTGACATGACTCAAGTGTGGAAAGGCTTGAAGGCTGTAATGTTTATGGTGCATTGCAACAAATCTGTCAATTTCAGTAACAACCTCCTATATCAATGTTTTCCTTTGTATATATGCATTCTAATGTTTTAGAATTGCATTTGGATGGGGAATGCATTGCAAACTTTGAATATTGTTGTTTCTCGTGCAAGATGTAACAAGCGTCTGGGCGGTCACAGACTGTAATGTATATGTTGTATGATGGGGGAGGGGCGGTTTAAATCTGTCGTAGCATGTCAGCTAGTAGAATTAAATATATTGTATGGCTTATGGCTGAGAAATGGCAACCTTGTCTCTTGATCTGTCTCTCTCCCTCTGTGCTGAACGTAATTTGACTAAAACCCCTCTAATCCTTCCAGATAATCTGTCAAATGGTCCTCTCCCTCTTCTCTCCTTCTCCGGTCTGTATCCACCTTTTTTCCTCACAGTCCGCTGGCCTGCTTCTTTAAAGAACCTTTTATTAAGCCACACGGGCTCGGCAGACATTAGTCTGCGCAAAGCCTGGTCCGATGACATCAGCTGCGTCATTAAGAAACTAGCACAACAGTAAATTAATCTTCTCATCCTTTTTTTTTTGTTGTTTTACAAACAAATGCTTTAACAGTGGTAGCTCGTGCCATCTGTATTTCCCCAGGACTTTTTATGAGCTACAGCAAACACTACCACTAAAGCTAGGGTTGTTTTGCTGTAGGAGACTTGCTAGGACAATATTACTACAACAAATGTGATGGTCTACTGAATATGATGATCTTCAGACATGATTAGCTATATCACGTAGCAGTGTGATATTTCTTTTGCACTACAGTTCAATAAACAAGAGAGCAGCCTTTTTTCAACGTTGTAAATAAAACAAAGATTATTGGAATATGCAAAAAAAAAACACTTTTATTTTCAAAAATGTGTTTTATTAAAAAACATTTGATTAAATGTGTTACTTTCCATTTCTTTGTAATTGTTTGTGAAATTTACTAGCAATTACTGAGTGAAATTTTTCTACACTAATTGTTTTTGTGTGTAGACAGTATCTTAGACCTAGTATTTCCAGATATGTTGTCTATTGTCACTCTGCCATCGAAAATAGTCTCCATGCGACTTTTCTATATGAATCAGCATTTCTGAACAAACGGGTGAAGTGAATGATTCAATGACACATATTTTGTTATTTGAATCAGTGTTTTGAATGAAACACAAATAGCTTCATCCAAAATCGCATACTCTTTGAGTAGGCAATTGTTTCGAATAAGTACTCACTTTGTAACCGCTGAAGAAGCATGTTCTATATGGTATGAATGTAATCTGGACATACTATATCCATCATATTGGTATTGTTATGTGACCAACCAGCATCTGTTACATTGCTTTAGTGCCATTCACAAATCCTCTCCCATGGCCTTGTGGGATAGTGAAATTCCACTGACTTTTCGCCAACTCTTTTATGAATACTGTGAATGCAGACATACTACTCATATTGTTTTTGCCTACTGTATGGATGTCGCCAATGTTTTAATGATTCACTGAAAAGTTGAAGTTGATGTGTTATGTATCTTCCATTTCACAGATACCTCAGATCAGTTATGCTTCAACAGCACCTGAGCTTAGTGACAACAATCGCTATGACTTTTTCTCCCGAGTCGTGCCGCCTGATTCCTTCCAAGCCCAGGCGATGGTAGACATCGTCAAAGCCATGGGCTGGAACTATGTTTCTACTCTGGCATCAGAGGGCAACTATGGAGAGAGTGGTGTAGATGCTTTCGTTCAGATATCCAGGGAAGCAGGTACTTAAAACTGAATTGATATAAAAAAGAAAAAGAAAGAGAAGAAAAATGAATGAATGCATTAATATGTATATAAGTGTTTGGTCATATATGTGCTTTATTTATCACAGTCTATCCCAGGATTTAACACCTCTGGTGTTGTATTTGATGAGGAAAGAGGATAATGATCAGAGGATAAAGGTTTCATGTGATTTTCTATGTGTAAACAAGTTATTAGTCACCTAGATGTAATGATAGACTGCTACAGACTGACCTGCATGTCATATTCATTTGAAAGACCTTGCAATCATCATTCTTTTATTAACGTCCTGCAAGTCCTTCACAACTATCTATCCTTTTATTTTATTTTTTTTATTCAGGAGGTCTTTGCATCGCACAGTCTATTAAAATTCCTAGGGAGCCAAGACCAGGAGAGTTTGACAAGATCATCAAGAGGCTAATGGAGACATCCAATGCCAGAGGGGTTATTATCTTCGCTAATGAAGATGACATCAAGTGAGTAGTCCTCTCTCTGAGGCAGGAGCTAAAGGGTTTACAGTGGGTACGGAAAGTATTCAGACCCCCTTAAATTTTTCACTCTTTGTTATATTGCAGCCATTTGCTAAAATCATTTAAGTTAATTTTTTTTCCTCATTAATGTACACACAGCACCCCATATTGACAGAAAAACACAGAATTGTTGACATTTTTGCAAATTTATTAAAAAAGAAAAACTGAAAAATGCTCAGTATTTAGTAGAAGCACCCATTTGATCTAATACAGCCATGAGTCTTTTTGGGAAAGATGCAACAAGTTTTTCACACATGGATTTGGGGATCCTCTGCCATTCCCTCTTGCGATTAGAGAACAGATCAATCACCCTACAATGGGAATATCAGGAGTCTTGGAAGAAATTATGAAATTATGGCAAATGAATGGACCACAAAGTGAATTTTTCATCTAGTTTAATTTGCATCTTGTAATCTAAGCCTGAATTAATATAAAATGATACATAGTAATCTAATTAGTGTATATATATATATATATATATACTGTATATATATGCAATGCATTTAGTTTTAATTACTTTTTCTTATTTGTAAGTCGCTTTGGATAAAAGCGTCTGCTAAATGACTAAATGTAAATGTAAAGAATTTGAATGTAAGCTTTTATTTCCGAGGAACGCTTTTGTTTGAATCTGCCAGGAAGATTACACATAATGAGCCTGCTTTTGCCAAGCAATCTCAAATCGAAGGTTTGAGACTTTACTGTGAGACTGACAGGTGAAAATAGGTGCAGAGTAGTTTCCACAAGAGGGAAAAGGCCAGAAACGAAGCTGCTGTTTCCAAGGAGGAGGGCTGTGAGTCCCATGGGTTAGTCAGAGTGAGGCGAGAGAGGACAGCACTCAATCCCAGCCTGAAGAGATCCACTAATGCACAATGCAGCAGCGCACATACTTGTTTTAACCCCCTCCACTTGTCTCTCTCCTTGTCTTTCATTCTCCCTAGGGCAGCCTCTCTCCAAACACATGGCGCATTTCCTTTTTCAGCACTTTTTCGCTCGGTGAAAATCCTTTTCGTCACTCGCTCCTGAGAGATTTCTATGAAAAGCACAGCTATTTCGACGTCCTCACACTTTTGTATGGAAATCTTTTCAGCTTTGAGAGCCTAAGGGGAACAAAACATGCCGCGTAGAGACCTTGCCCCTCGTGATTTGCGGTTTATAAATTGAAAGCCTTGTCTTTCATTCTCCCCAGGGCAGCCTCTCTCCAAACACATGGCGCATTTCCTTTTTCAGCACTTTTTCGCTCTGTGAAAATCCTTTTCGTCACTCGCTCCTGAGAGATTTCTATGAAAAGCACAGCTATTTCGACGTCCTCACACTTTTGTATGGAAATCTTTTCAGCTTTGAGAGCCTAAGGGGAACAAAACATGCCGCGTAGAGACCTTGCCCCTCGTGATTTGCGGTCAGGTGTGTATATATATATATATATATATATATATATGATAAATTAACATTTCTTCATTTAGCAAAGTTTTAGTTTTAGTTTTATATATAACATGTAGTATTATTATATTCACATATATGATGAATTTATGTTTTGAGGTATTCAAAAGTGTTCAACAGATTTTTTGCAATTTTGTTTATTGAAAATGAAAATTATTATTATTATTATTAATAATAATAAATTATTTTAATTATATAATAATTAACATATTAAAAAATTGTCTATAATAATAGCACAACATTAGTCAATGTTAATTTAAATTATTTGCATAATAATCTGTGCTTAATGTACTCTTGTTCAGAGTAGCTGCTGTGCAAGATGTTTACAGGGTTGTCACTGTGCTCTATGTTCCCGAAAGACATTTTTGTCTGAGAACTTCTTGTCCATTGAATAATTAATGAAGCAATATTTTGAGTGTAGCGTGGAGGTGCACTGAAAGCTCTTCTCTTTTTTGGTGTTCCATTAACGTTGTTAATGCATATTATTTGAGGAAACATTAAGAAACATGGTCTCCTTCACAAAGATGTTCAGAGAATTGTTGGAGTTGAATTCTTAGTGAATTGATGTAACTTAGATATCATGGACCATTACAGACATTAATCTTGTATAAACATTCATTCCTACCTCTTTTCTGCTCACAGCTCCTGGGTGTTTTCATTTGGTTTGGAGTGATTCCCCCTCACACGACTGTCGACTTTGATGAGCTACGTCCCCCCAACCCTGAGTATGCGCGTGGGATCCTGAAATGTGATATGTCAGATCTGTCTCTGATTGGCTGTCTGAGCTACAGTATGGTGCTGATGGTCACATGTACAGTCTATGCCATTAAGAGCAGAGGGGTTCCTGAGACCTTCAATGAGGCCAAACCCATCGGCTTCACCATGTACACCACCTGTATCATCTGGCTGGCCTTTGTGCCCATATTTTTTGGCACATCACAATCCACAGAAAAGGTACATTGTTAATATAATATAGATTAAGATGGATTTTGGACAGAGATTATCACATTTTAATAGGCAATAACTCTATACAGAAAAACAAAATAGTTAATAATAGATGTACTTTTTGTTTTTCCATTACTACATATTTTACTATGTAAAAAAACACATTAAAATTAGACCTAAGGATACATTTAAAACAAAAGAGATATCATATTGATTTTCTTACCAACTATTTTGCATTTAATTTAATATAATTTAATTAATATTACTGGAGATACATGTCACATACATTGCATTAATTTCACTATTGTTTAACTATTTATGTTTGGGTCTTTTGGCATATCTGTTCCTAGATGTAGTCATTCATATAAAATCCTGAGTCTTGTTACTGTGATATTAGTGTAGAAGATTCACTAGTGCCTGATATTAACGTCATACAGAAATATGATCTTTACCCTGAGAGTGTCTAGACATGCATTTCACTAGATTAGATGGTTCTGTTTCAGTTAATGATGCTGCAACATTTTCTTGTGAATGCTTCAGCCATAGTCAGATAATAGAAACCTAAAAAACTGTATCTAATATCAGGTTAACATAATTGCTATTTAATTGTGGTGCTAAAAACTGTTCAGGTGCTAGCCACACTTCATGCATTTAGTCATTCAATTTTTCACGTCTGTTCATCCTGTGGGGGATGGTTTTGCTTACAAAGCACAGGGATTTAAAAATGGAAAGTATACTCTGACTAATAGAGAGGTCTTTTAGTGGCCGGTCAACCGCAAAGCTTTTGGCCCTCAGGTGGTCTTCAAGTCTTTTCATTTCTTGTAAATGAAAAGATGAGCATGGAAGAATAAAATACCAGACTATACAGCGGGCTGCAGTATATATTTGTGTGCTGCTATCTTACATTTTATCATGTTTAGTTTTGTTTTTTTAAGTATATTTTGCTTATCTTTATATTTCTAATAGGGGGGAAAACAGTTTTACCATCACAGCTTTTTTTAATAATGACATTTTTAACAGAATTTTAGACTTAAAGCAGTAATTATTTGGTTGCATGCTGCATAATCTCATGAAATATAAGCGGTCTCAATTACAGTATATATATTATAAATTAACTAAATGAAATAAATGACTCAAATTGCAATAAACATGATATAAGGGGTCAGTTTTTTGGCTCGCATTACACATGCATAAACTGATTGAATTATTTCACATGGCTGATTTCAGCCCTTTGTCTTTTAATAGTCATTATACTAATTTCCAGGAAATGCATTGTGACAATCAACAGAGTTTATATATATGTGTAATGTGCAGTGATATCTCAGTGCTAAAGCCCTGACGGCTGATCTACATCATGTGATAGGTCATGGCTGAGGCCAGGCTAAAATATTACTCTTAATCTTTTTTCTGCCCTGAACCAGATGTTCATTCAGACCACAACGCTGACCGTGTCCATGAGTTTGAGCGCCACGGTGTCCCTGGGCATGTTGTACATCCCCAAAGTCTATGTCATCATCTTCCACCCAGAGCAGAATGTTCAGAAGCGCAAGCGCAGCTTCAAAGCCGTGGTCCAGGCAGCCACCGTTTCCACTCATCTCTCACAGAAGTCCAGCGACAAGCAGAACGGAGAGACCAAAGTTGAACCAGATAGATCCCAATAAAGACCAAGAGGTAAAAAAATAATAATAATTATATATATATATATATATATGTGTGTGTGTATATATATATATACATGCATACATAAACACACACACACACACACACACACATATATATATATATATATATATATTGTGTAACTATATAATATAAACAATAAATTAGTTTTCATATTTTTTATAAATATACATATTTATTTGTTTATTAACAGAAATATTACATATGCTATCTGTGTTCAGGCCTGTGTACATCCTAATGAAGTAGTCTGAGAAAAATAGTCAAGGCAAACTGCTGCTTGATAAATCATTCATTTTGCAACCACTAATGGATGAGGATCACCAGAGGATGCGCTGATATTTTTTATATCTGCAATACAAGAGTCTGGGTGAGAAAAACACTAATATAATGTATAAATGAATAGTACAACATGTGCAGAAATTAGAGGATCAATGGATTCTTTGTGATGTGGAACTCTCACATCAGCTTTGAGACTGAAAATATTTGTTCCCTTTAATATTTCCCTTGTAACCACGGCATCACCAGTTGAGATGAAATCATAGATTCATGAATTCATGATGAAGAAGACTGTCCATACAGAGTCCCTTTGGAGAAAAAAAAACAATAGAAAATTTCTTCCACCAGCATTTTTTGAAGGACTAAGTGTTTGTATCTGATGTGTACAAATGAAATCGGACTTAAACTTAGGCACACATCAGTGAGTCACGTTCAGTTTCAGTGTCATCTCCATCCTTATCCCCTTATCCTAAATACATATCATAAAAGATCAAATGAGACTATACGGAGACAATGTTGGGATCAAATGTGATTCAACAGCTGGAGTGAACACTCTTTGCTTTTAAAAATGTGCCATAACTTTGTTTCAGAATAAATGTTTTAAGTGTCTTGTGTGCAGTCCTCATAGGCAATATCCTGTATTCTTAAACATATTTATTAAAAATGATAGATTATCAAGAAAAAGCAATGACAATCTGTAATGAAACAACAAAGTTTTGATCAGAGATTTTATGTTTCCTTGAGCTTACCAAGAGATACTGTTTTTAAACCAAATATATTCTATTGATAAGTATTTATTGGTTAATTTAAATTAAAATCATAACATTTTAGAGACTGAGATCCTTTTATTGTCACATGCAACTGGCTTTCAGAGTAGTCACTCGTATCTTAGTGAAGCGGGGGGGACCATGCATTATAGTTCAATGTATCACTTCAAGAAGCAGTTAATATTAAATGATGACCATGCGGTTACTGTAAACTCAGGTTCTAAGTGGGCTTAGTTAGCCTTGATGAATTTTGTGGATGTCTTGTTTTTTTTGTATTTAAGAGATACAAAAGAGCACTGGAATAAAAATGTATTGATTGAATGCATGTTGGAAAAATTATTTAATAAAATCCTGAACAAATTAAGTGGAAATTGAAGAAATCATGTTACTCTATAGAAATCAGTATGATTGTGAGAGTTTCTTGTTCTCATAGTGCTTTAAAACAAAATCACATACAATGGTTCTATTACTTTGGGGATTGTCAGTAACCTCTATTACTTTATGAAAGCATCACTGTTGAACTAGGACTGGACTGTTTCTAAGCAATTTTTGGGCAAACAAAAAAGAGAAAACATGCTTTCTATAGACATTAAATGTAATGATAGAAAATGATTGTCATGTTTATACAATTTGATTGACTGCTGTATGATTTTAGTCCTTTTGATATATGCTATGTGGGTGTTTAGAAATAGCTGAAAAAAAAATGGCAAATTGATAATGTGGTCAACAAACTTGGAACTAGTTCATAGCCGTGCAATTATAGAATGATTGTGAACCAATCAGAATCAAAATTCAGCAGTGTTGGTGAATGAAAAATATGAGACACACTTATTACCTCTTTAAAGGCATAGTTCAGCCAAAAAGGAAAATTCACCCTCATGGCGTTCCAAACCAATATGTGTTTTTATTTTTTTATTTTTTCTGTTGAGCATAAAAGAAGATATTTTAAAGAATTTGGATAACTAAAAAGTTGACAGTAGCCCACGACTTCCATAGTATAAAAGAAAAAAAAAGGAAGTCAATGGCTACCATCAATTGTTTGGCTACCAACATTCTTCAAAATATCGTTTGTGTTCAGCAGAAGAAAGAAACTCACACAGGATTTTAACAACATTAGGGTGAGTGAATGATTGAATTTAATGAATTTTCATTTTTGGATGAACTATTCCTTTAAATGTGAGTCAAATTTAACCCTAGGTTAACCCTTTAACATTTTTAAATAGTTAAATATAAAAAAAGCAAAATTTAAAAATGTGTTTTTAAATATAAAAAACGAATCTACACGGTCACAAATACTGATTCTAATGTGATATTTCTTTACTGGAAACGGGTCAAAATCACAGTTAAGTCAATAGAAGGGTTAATGCGTTAGGGGGCAGTGCAGAGCTATATGAGTCCATTTGTCAACACGAAGCAGCGCAAGCGTCGGAAGTGACGTAAAAATCGCGTTGTGATTTGTTGATGTTTGTGTCAAACTCTCGGTCGGCCATTGTTCCGAAAGAAAAACCTCGAAACCGAAGGAATAAAGTCGATCTGTGACGACTGTATTAATACACCGACACCTCATATTATGTTAGGACAGGTGTAGCCATACATGCAGCGAACAAACTGTTCATAGACAAGCAAAAACGGCCGTTTATTCTCTGTGTGTAACTCATAACAACACAAATCGCCGCAAGCTGGCCAGCGATGACAATCCTCCCGAAGAAGAAACCGGCCTCCACAGCCGGTGGCGGTGATCATACGGACGAACCGGACAGACGAGGAGGTTCTGAGTCGCACCCTCATCCCCTCGCAGGACGCTCGGGGTCCCGACCCAGGGCCTCTCCTCCGCCGTGGACATGCCAGGCCACGCCGCAAACGTCCAGAGAGGAGCGGCGGATCGAGGCGAGCGCTCGCCTGCGGCCGGCCTCTCCGCAGCCCGCTGCCGCTGGAGCACCGGTCGTGCAGTGCGAAGGGAGCGCGAACTCGGTTGTGGTCGCGGGTCGCGTCGAGCTGCCCTGCGGCGCAGGTGGCGTTGGAAGCTGCTGCTCGGGACCCGGACTCAGCAAGCGGAGACGACAGGCGGTCTGCTCTAGCGGTTTGACAGGTGGAGGAGGAAGAGTGGGAGGAGGCGGTAGTCCAGTCTCGGAACCAGAGGAGGGAGCTGGAGGCAACAACAGTGAGGACGAGTATGAGAACGCGGCCAGATTTCAACATGTGGACCCCGCCACAGTCGAGCAGGTACTGGATGCTGCAGGATACTTGGCAACACGAGAACAGGTTGCTAGTTGTTTCATCCTCTAAAATGCATTAAATGCATAGGCGCTGTTATAAAGCATAATAGAAAGGTTTAAAATTCTCTCTACATGTTCATTATTAATATTATTGTAAACGTGTTTATTGTCATTCATTCTTGATAGAAAAGAAATAGGCCTAGAGGTTCTCTTAAGATATACGTTACTCACAATTATGATATAAAAACTTGACTTCATGAAATAATAAGTTGAAATTATGACGTACGTCATAAAACTAACCCTACATAATGAAAACAAAATTGAAATTGGATGGTGACTGTGCTTGTCATTTATTATTCTGTGGAAGCTGAATGTTAGGCAGAAAGTTTTCATGAATCAACTAAATTTTTGAATCAACTATCCTATTAATCTTTATGTCCAAATACTTGTTGGGGACACTGTCAATTTTGTTGATTGGAATAAATACTCCAAATGTCCTCATTGTTCTATAATATATACTTTCCTGGTTGCTTTTTGGCCTACAGCAAGAAGAATGGTTCGAGAAAGCCTTAAGGGAAAAGAAAGGCTATGAAATCAAAAAAATGAAGGAAGATGGAGCATGTCTTTTCAGAGCAGTCGGTAATATTTCTCTCCTGTATTTAGGGGTTATTTACTTGAAAGCTGAGTCAGTTTGCCTTTAGGACATATGCTGTGCTTTGAATTTGCTGAAATTATAGTTTAGCAGTGCAGATGTAATCATGTGGCTATTACAGTGCATAGGTGCCATATTGTGGCAAATATCAGTTTTTCAGTCCTAAAGTATTCATGGAAAATATCAAAACCTTCATTTAAAAATCTATCATTTCTGTATTATTATTATTGTTGTTGTTATTATTATTGTTATTGTTGTTGTTGGATTACTTTTTTTAGTTGCAATGTGCATACAATTATTTTTAAAACGTAATTATGAATGACTGGGGAAGTCATGAAAATTCATTGACATTTAACAGTGTTATTTTAGTATTATCTATATTAATACAGCTTTTCTTAATGTTTATATGCTTTTATATTTTTTTTTAAAGCTGATCAAGTCTATGGGGACCAAGATATGCATGATGTGATACGGAAGCAGTGTATGGATTATTTGGTGAGTCAGTTAAATATTTAACAGGCATGTGATCAGCTAGAGACAAAAAAGAAGGAAAATCTGACCACGCCCCAAGCCATGCCCACAAGCCACACCCTGAGCACTTATTATTAAAAATATATATTTTAGCACATTAAAAGATATGTCTTACATTGTAATAATACATACTATTGTCCTGTAAAAAATAAAAAAAGAATAAAGCAGCATTTGATAATCATGATAACAATATAATATAATATATTATAATAATGTACTATAATATATTATAGTAAAGTATATAGAATTGTTATTATAATTAAAGTACCTGCCAAAAGTTTGGAAACATTACAATTATTATTGATTTTGCAATAAATATCTTCTGCTCATCAAGGCTGAATTGATTTGATCAAAATAAAGTAAAAAAAAACCTGCAATATTGTGAAATTATTATTACAAATTATTATTACAAATTAAAAAAAAGTTTTCAATTTTAGTATATTATAAAACTTAATGTTATTCCTGTGATGCAAAGCAGAATTTTCTTCATCATTAATCCAGTTTTCAGTGTCACGTGATCTTTTAGAAATCATTACAATTTGTTTGACTCTCAAGAAATATTTCTGATTATTATCAATGTTGAAAACAATTTAGCTGCTTCATATTTTGTTTGGAAATGGTGATACACTTTATTTTTTTTGGAATTCTTGATAAATATAAAGTTTAATGAACAAGATTTATTTGCATTTATCAAATATATTAATTAAATTTGTTAATGCATTTATTAAATGGAAATCATTTTAAAGGGGTCATATGATGCGACCTCAATTTTTCCCTTCTCTTTGGAGTGTTACAAGCTCTTGGTGCATAAAGTAGATCTGTAAAGTTGCAAAGACTAAAGTCTCAAATCCAAAGAGATATTCTTTATAAAAGTTAAGAGTCAACCACGCCTACCTAAAACGGCTCGTTCTAACACGCCCCCACATGTCTACGTCACTGTGTGGGAAGATTTGCATAACACCACCCAAATGTTCATTTGGGCAGTGTAGAGTAGCACTTGTTGTTTGTCATTTCTCCGATCACAAATGCAGACATGGTTTTATGTTTACGCGGCGCGATGCAACGCAACACGTAAAAAGACAGTATAAGTCATTATAATCCGTAATTATGTCCCCACTGGATTGGATAATTCAATCCAGTGGGGGGCATAAATGCCTCGTTTATAATGGGTTTTAATGGTTTTGTCTCGTCACTACGGCCGGACAGGGCATCACAATATGGTAGGAGCGTAACATTTCAATCACACGCTTGAGGTATTCGGCCAATCACAATGCACTGGATAGCTGGCCAATCAGAGCACACCTCGATGCTGATTTTGGAAAGTTAATCTTGTTCGCATTCTACAGTTCATGTCTGATACCTAGCGTCACGTGTTCATGAGGATTAGGCTAATCATCCCATATAGAAAACATCACAATCTTCACTCACTTTTTATTACTTTCATGCATGATCAGGGGCGCGGGAAGATGTTTTCGGGTGGGGGTGCTGTGTGTGTGTGTCCGTGTTGGGTGAAGGGGGTGGGTTTCACTTACGTCGGTGCTCGTG